AAGCTAATGTATTGTCTGATTGTGTTGTTGCATTGGCAGCGGAGGGAGTCCAAGGGTTGATCTTCAAGGGCTCCTGGGGTAATAAATGGAAGATAAGCCATTGCAGGTAACTTGTGTTGTAAATGAAATTATACTATTTTTAGTTGTTTTGCAAGTGTAGTGGAACAGCACTTGCAATAGATGAACAAGAGATAACAAAAGCCCATTCTGTGGATTTTTGGAGTCATGATGGCCACACTTCTCCTCGTCCCAGTCCCCACCTGGCTGGTGCCATAGGGTAAAAGGGAAAACTTCTCAAGATTTAAGGTTCTGTCTGGTGTCCTGTGACTTTGTGTATGGATAGGGTTGGGCTCAGTTCTGCCTCAACGTGGTGGACTGGCCTGTTGACATTATGTAAGAACATAGAACATAGAACAGTACAGTACAGCACAGTACGGTACAGGCCCTTTGGCCCACGATGTTGTGCCAAACTTTTACCCTAAACCTAAGGTCTATCTAACCTCCACCCCTACCTTATACTATCATCCATATGCCTACCTAATAGCCGCTTAAATGCCCCTAATGAGGCTGACTCCACTACCCTCTCCGGCAATGCATTCCATGCCCCGACCACTCTGAGTAAAGAACCTACCTCTGACATCTCCCCTATAGCTACCTCCACTCATTTTAAAACTATGCCCCCTTGTAATAGCTACCTCCACCCTAGGAAAAAGTTTCTGGCTGTCCATTCTATCTATACCTCCGTTCATTTTGTACACCTCTATCAAGTCACCTCTCATCCTTTGTCATTCTAAAGAGAAAAGCCCTAGCTCTCTCAACCTTTCCTCATAAGACCTTCCCTCCATTCCAGGCAACATCCTGTTAAATCTCCTCTGCACCTTTTCCAACGCTTCCACATCTTTCCTGTAATGATGCGACCAGAACTGGACACAATACTCCAGATGTGGCCGAACCAGGCTTTTGTATAGCTGGACCATAACTTCACGGCTCTTGAACTCAATCTCTCTATTAATGAAAGCTAACACACCATACACCTTCTTAACAACTATATCCACCTGGGTGGCAGCTTTCAGGGAACTGTGGACGTGAACCCCAAGATCCCTCTGCTTCTCCATACTGTCAAGAATCTTTCCGTTAACCCTGTATTCTGCTTTCAAATTTGTCCTTCCAAAATGAATCACATCACACTTTTCAGGGTTAAACTCCATCTGCCACTTCTCAGCCCAGCTCTGCATCCTATCAATGTCCCTTTGTAACCTAGAACAGCCCTCCGTACTATCCACAACTTGATCCACCTTTGTATCGTCCGCGAACTTACTAATCCACCCTTCTACTCCTACATCCAAATCATTTACAGTAATCACAAATAGAAGACGACCCAGAACAGATCCTTGTGGTACACCACTTGTAACTGAGCACCATGTTGAATATTTTCCGTCCACTACCACCCTTTGTCTTCTAAGGGTCAGCCAATTCTGAATCCAATTGCAACATTTCCCCCTATCCATGCCTCTTTACTTTCTGCATGAGCCTACCATGGGGAACCTTATCAAATGCCTTACTTAAATCCATGTGTACCACATTCACTGCTCTACCTTCAAAGAATTCAATAAGGTTTGTGACGCATGATCTACCTCTCACAAATCCATGCCGACTATCACAAATCAAACTGTGCCTATCCAAGTGATCATAAATCCTATCTCTCAGAGCCCTTTCCAATAATTTGCCCACCACTGAAGTAAGACTAACTGGCCTGTAATTTCTGGGGTTATCCCTATTCCCTTTTTTTTGAATAAGGGAATGACATTTGCCTCTCTCCAATCTTCCGGCACTATACCCGTCGACAACGAGGACAAAAAGATCATCGCCAAAGTCCCTGCAATCTCTTTCCTCGCTTCCCATAGAATCCTTGGATAAATCCCATCAGGCCCGGGGGACTTATCTATCTTCAAGTTCCTCAAAATTCCTAGTACGTCTTCCTTATTAACATCCACCTCCTCTAGCCTACCAGCCTATTTCACAATGTCCTTCCCTACAACTAGGTCCCTCTCAGTTGTGAATACCAAAGGAAAGTATTCATTAAGGACCTCTCCTATCTCTTTAGACTCTGTGCAAAAATTCCCTTTACAATCCTTGATTGGCCCTACCCTTTCTCTGGTCATTCTCTTATTCCCCACATACGTGTAAAAAGCCTTGGAATTTTCCTTGATCCTAACTGCCGAGGTTTTCTCAACCCACATCTTATTTCTGTTTTGGAATATGGACCAAAAATGAGGAAAGTAGGCACTGCTTTGAAAAGGTTAAAGTGTTACTAGTAGGTTCGGAATAACAAATGTAATTAACTGACGCATCTGCAACTGTGTTACTTTTATGGCATTATGCTCGGATAAAGTGTCACCATCTGTGTGCTCAGAGCAGCGCTGCCCAAAGGTAGTATTTTGATTGGCTTTTCAATTGGCAACAGTTGTTGTGGGTTCAGGAGAACTCAGCATATTACAGCCTTCTGATTGGCCCAGCTGCAGTTTAACTCTGTTAGAGAGTAAAAACAGAAGAGGATACAAAGGGTGTCATCTTTCAGGATCGGCACCTCTGTCAGTTCCCTTGCTCTGAAAAAATTGCCCTTTCACACTTTGTGGGAAAAACAGCAGGGAAAAACTGCTTTCAGAGTTCTGAAAGAAATAATTCTAAAGTCTGTGAAAGTAAAGATCCAGCCAAGCAGCCAGTGAACTAAAGGCTCAAAATCACTGTGCAGATAACATCGAGGCATCAAAGAACCAAAATGATTGCAATGCCAGCTCATCATCTTTTGTGATTTTGAACTGGTGATACAGAATTGTGTTCCTCTGATGCATTTTCCTTTGCCTCCACTTATAATATTTGTGTTTGTTTGCTTTTCATGGGTGGGTGGGGTGCTGTGTGTGTGTGTGTGTGTGTGTGTGTGTGTGTGTGTGTGTGTGTGTACGCACGCGTGGGAGTTTTACAGGGATAAAGTTGAGTGTTACAATATAAAGTTTATTTTTATTGTAGTGTGGTCAGCAGCCTGAGGCAATTTGCGATTCATGCTTGTTTCATTAAATCTTAAACATTTGTCACATCTTAGGGAATAATGGGATTTGATTCCCAGTGAGTTGTGACATTTGGTACCAAGGGTGATGTCAAAGCATAGTTAGAATATACATTTTGTAACAAACTGTAATCTTGTTTAAAAGGAGCTTTTAAACTTGGCTCTTAAAAGCCATATGACTTCTCTTATGGATTTAACTGGAGCCAAAGCAGACAGCTGGCCCCACTGAGATGAGTTCTGACAAAAGACAGAATTATCTGAAGAATCAATCACAAAGATTCATTAAATAATTTAAGGGTTTTAGGACTGTCCGATGAATCCTGTAAAGGTGCGAAGACTCCATGCTGCTGGAGTGCTGATTAGGAATTCCAGCATAATTGACTTTGCTTCGCGGTACAATGATTCAAGTTAACATTTCCAGTCGTTTAGTTTGATTGTGATAATGTTGGGTGAGGAGAGCCATCTGGCCGCTAAGAGAGAGAAATCATGAAATAAAAACTGCTTGAAACAGGGAGACACAGGAAGGGCAAAAACCAGCTAAAGGACTGCTATGCTGAAGCAGGCTGCCAAGAGCCAGAGCCAGTGGCATGATAAAGTTGGGAAGAAAGGGGCCTTCACTCCTCCCGGAATCTGCTTAGTGAATCCATATTTGGGAGTAACCTCTAATTATTCAACTACAGGAGCTAGTGCAGCTGCTGAATCTAACTTTAGCTTTCAACCGGTCATGTCAGAAAGAGTATCTCCAAGCAACCCAGGCCCGCAGCAATATAAGAGATTGATTTCATTTTCATCTTCATACATAACTTTTATCCTGTGTTAAATCTTTGTATGTATATTTTAGATAAATTGTTAACATTCTTAAGAAAATTTCAATAATAGTACAGTTGTAATGACAAAACTCTGGTGGCTGTGACAGATGAGCTTTTATATTCCTTCAGAAATAGGGACGGCACGGTGGCTCAGTGGTTAGCACTGCTGCCTCCCAGCACCAGGGACCCGGGTTCGATTCCACCCTCGGGTGACTGTCTGTGTGGAGTTTGCACATTCTCCCCCATGTCTGCGTGGGTTTCCTCCGGGTGCTCCGGTTTCCTCCCACAGTCCAAAGATGTGCAGGCTAAGTGGATTGACCATGCTAAATTGCCCGTAATGTTCAGGGATGTGGAGATTAGGTGGGTTATAGGGGATGGGTCTGGATGGGATGCTCTGGGGGTTGGTGTGGACTTGTTGGGCTGAAGGACCTGTTTCCACACTGTAGGGATTCATGAGGTACAAGCGGACACTTTTTTAGACGTTCAGATTTTTATACATTCAGGTGCAGTAAGTAACACTCTTGCTGTCCAGACATCTTGAGCACAGATATCTAAGGTGACACTCCAGTTTCATATCGAAGGAGTGAGCACTATCAGGAATGGTGTTCTTTGGTTAACTGAGGCATGATAGTGTACACAAATTCCAGCTGGTGTCCTAGCCAACATTGATTATTGTGCTGTTTTCCCTGCCTAAGTTTGCTGACTTGTTTCAACAGTGACTACATTTTGGTAAGTCCTTTTGTACTTTATGATCTTGTTTACATGTATACGAAGCAAACTGTCCCTTACTTTCCGTCTAGATTTTTGAACTGTGAAGAGGACAAGAATGGATGTGATAAAAATACTTTGTTTGCTTCTACACTCCTGTTATTTTTTTTAGTGGCCTAAAACGGGTTGTAGTGATTGTGACGAGGTCAGCTGAGTCGACCTCACCGAATATGAGTTCCCTGATTAGACCAGGTCAGCAGTCTCAATCAGGGAGCCCTGGATGACATATAAACAGGAGTGTCAGTGGAAGTCTGACCAGAATCAAGAACCATGCACATGTAAATAAAGGGTGACTTGGTGATGGGATGCCGTACAGTTATTTCAGTGTTAAAGTCATTTTATTCCCTTTTTAATGCCAGAGTGGAATCCTTGGAAGAAGACATAATATTGAAAGGAGTAAAACTGATTGTGGTGGACTCGGTTGCATCAGTAGTTCGCAAAGAATTTGACACCAGAATCCAGGGTAACCTGTCAGAACGTAGTAACCTGCTGTCAAGTGAAGCTGCCACGCTAAAATTTTTGGCAGAAGAATTCTCCATTCCGGTAAGACCCTAGGCCTTTTTTCTGTTTGTGGTTGTGATTTGTTTTTTTTGGAACTCGTTGCACCTACTATAAAATGAGCCAGCACTGTATTCGTGCCTATAGTGATAATACCGATGGAGAAATGTTACATGCTTTGGATGTTGGTGCAGTGCCTAAGTGATGGCATTATGAGCAATATTTCTTTTAGAAACCCATAGCCTGCGATAGGGTTTTCCTGCCCACTTGCTTTCCAAGTCCCTGGTGGTTCATATCCGGAGCAATTGAGATAGTTCAGGTAGAGCTGTTGTTAGTAGCTAGTCTACAGATTTAATGCATACTTAGGATTAATTCTTTATGTTGAGCTACACATAGTTGCCCCAATCAACTTAATGCTGAACCTTCTTCCTTGAAATAAATTATATAAGTGAGGATTACAATAGGTCAGAAGATTTTATAAGGATGACTTTTTTTAAAAAAAGAGAAATTAAATTGCAGGAGAACCAGTCAATATATAAAAAAAGACAGCAGGAGCTTCTACAAGTAGAATTTTCCTATAAAAAGGAAAATAATAACTAAGGTGAGCATTGCTATTTTAGATTATGAAACTGTTGAATTAATAGTGGGAGAAGAGAAACACAGAGAAGTTTTGAAGAAAGCATTTTATGTCTGCCTTCACACCACAAAACTTGAATTATTACAAGAATATTTTTAAAATATCATGAAGGAAAAAGGAAAGAGAAACTCAAAATAAATGTAATCAATATATAATTAATAGAAAATTTTAAATTGTATTTGACAAATTTATTTTGAGCTCTTTAAAGATAGTAATGAGCACTATTGATGAGGGGAACCGTTACCGTTAGATGTGGTGTATTTGCATTTCCAAAAGGCATTTAATGAAGTGCCATGCAAAAGGTTACTGCATAAGAATAGGACTTATGATATTAGGATGATAGGTTAGCATGGATAGAGGGATTGACTAACTAGCAGAACATATTGTTGGGATAAATAATTTTCAGCTTGGTAAACTGTAATGATAAAAGACCCACAGGGACAAGTGCTGGGTTTCAACTATTTCGATCTACATTATGATTTGAAAGAAGGGGCAAAGCGTGTTGAAGCCGGATCTACTGACAATACAGTAATGGATAAGAATGCAAGTTGTAGGGAAGATTTGAGTTTGCAAAGTGATATAAATGGGTTAGGTGAGTGGGCAAATTATCACGTGGAGTTAATGCAGGAAAATGTGAGTTTGTGTGTTTTGCCAGGAAGTATAAAAGTGGAGGATATTGTTTAACTGGAGAGCCTGCAGAATACTGCAGTCGAAAGGTGTCTAGGTGTCTTCATATATGAATCGCAAAAGGTTAGTATGCAAGTACAGTAAATAATTAAGAAGTATGTGGAATGTTGGCCTTTATTGTAAGCGGGATAGAATATTAAGTAGAGAAATTGTACCATACCTGTAACAGGGTAGACCACTCCCAAGAGCTTTGTGTGAATTTTAAATCCTCTTACTAATGAAAGAATATATTTGACCAGAAATAGTTCAGAGAAGGATCACTGAGCTAAATGAGGTTATCTTGAGGAAAGGCTGAGCAGATTGTGCCTAAACTCACTGGAGTTTAGAAAAAAATGAGAAGTGATTTGATCAAAATATAAAACGTTGTGAGTGTGCATTGACAAGTTCAATGCTGTAAGGATATTATTCCTTGGTGAAGTCTAGAATAGGGGACTCAGTTTGAAAATGATCTCCTATTTAAGATAGAGATGAGGATAAATTTCTTGCCTCAGAGCGTCATTAATTTTTGATTCCAGAGAGTAGTGGAGGCAGTTGATTGAATATATTCAAGGCTAAGCGTAAGGATCGTGAATTTTTTTTTACTATGTTTTTAAAAATTGGAGACTGAAGTGAGAAAGAGTTGTTTTAAAAATCAACGTTTTGCAAGACTGCTACACGTTTTGAAAAGCAAGTAACCTGGGACCCATGGTATGCACTGTAAGTATCTGTTTGAACAAGTTGATTGGTCTATGGATGAGCGACAGTTATCAGTGACAGAGACCTTTTTATGTCCAACGACTGCACGATTAGTTCTTAGATAACTGATCAGCTTGGAGCTGGGAGCAAATTGCAAAGAAAGTGAGTGTTCCGTTCTTCCTCAACAAGGGAGCAGTCTCACTGTAGTCTAAACTCACTAAGTCTAAAGTAAACCAGTTTATCTTTTCTACAATGTTGTAAGCTGTGACTTTTAACCAACAAATCAGAGACTTCAAATATCTGTACCAGCCACCTTGTGTCTCTTACCATCTAGTAGAAGCAACCGAAGAAAAACAGCTGAAGCAACATGCTCACCAGCAGAAGAGTTGTAAGGATCATCTTAATAACAGTACCTGGGAACAAAGACTAATGAACTGCTTTCCTATTTTCTTCTGTTACTAATCTATTTTACCTTGTTGTTTGTTTGTCGGCCTATGTGTCTGTAAGGGGTAGTTTATAAGCAGATTAGAGTTTTAATTAGCAGCATCCAGTGGTTTATAACTGTTTACCTGTAGCTCGAGTCTAATTACTACTAATAATGAATAGTGATTGTTGTTAAGTACAGAAACTTAGTTCTTGCTTTATATCAGATCTGAAAAACAGTAAATTAGGGAACTTTGCATACTTCGAAAGCTTTTGTGATGACTCTAGGAATATCAAGTCTTGATTACCAACATACTACTCCAGTGAAGCATAACATAAGTTAGATTTTTGATCAACAAGGAGATGAGGGTCAGGTAGGAAAGGAAGTTAAGGCTTAGTTAGATCAGCTATGATCTTATTGAATGCTGGAGTAAGCTGAATGATTTACTCCTCCTATTTCTTGTGATCAAATTAGTACACTAAAAGTCAAAAATCAGCTCTTTGGAAATTATGTTCTTGTTTAACTTGCTACATTTGCTCAGAGTTTGTTTTCCATCTTACTTTCTGTTTGTGTGGTCAAGGCGTTAAATTTGAATGCAGGCATTATGTATGTTTTGCTCAAATGTACTTGAATGGCATCCTTTATTTTTTCATTGACTGGAAAGTTACTAAGAACTGCTTTGTCTTGACTATTTCTTTAACGGGAATTGTTCAAATGGGAAAGTCTGTCTTTGAGACTCCCCAGAGATGCCTTCAGACCAAACAGCGTCTTTTGGCAGTGAGGAAACTGAGAGACCGCTTAATGTTTTGCTGATTTGGTTGTTAATGATACACACGAAGGTCAGTGTTTGATGAAGGAACGGGATTGTATAAGGGACTGTCACGAGCTAAGTTTGTTTCATCAGGTCCTAGGCTTTCAAAAGAAAAGCATAGAGTCCGATACAGCGGTAGTGTCAGTATCTTTGGCTAGAAGGCCCAGCTTCAAATACCATCTGCTCCATTTGTGTGTCAAAACCTGCCTGAACAGGTTGGTTTTAAAAATAGCTAAAGACAGTCCGATTCTCAGAGACAGTAATGTGGTAGTAATGTCACTGGACTAGCAAAACAGAGGCTTGCTGACAGCCAAAAGCTGATAAAAGATTTTCAGTTTGGGTTGAAATTAAGATGGACCTGAGTATTTGGAAAGTGACAAGAGTCCAGCTTTTCAGAATTTATAAGGTAGCCAGTTTTGGAGACAATTTCCACTGGGAGAAGGAGAGACTTGCAGCTTCGGTGTGTCTTCCTTACTGATGACTTAGATCAGTAAAACATAAAACTAAGTCCAGAAAGAGTTGCTAGGCAACTATTAGCATAGAAGCCCCCATATAGTATTTTAAAGAACCAGCTTTTCTAGTATTTGAGGGCCACAAACCCCATATCTTATCTCCTTGAAAGCTTTGTTTCCCTTTCCTCCAAAGTCACTCAGTTTTTCTGCAAATAGTAGATGGCTTATACAGCACACGCTAAGCTGTTGACCCCATTCTATGATAAAACATTATGGTAAACGTTTTCCAATCTAGAAGATGTCCAAACAATTCCATATTTTTCCAGTATCTTTTACAGTCCTTGAATATAAAAATAATAATTTGCTGTGTTTGGGGGAAAATCTTGAGGCACACATGGGTAAGCTGCTCGTTAGCTTCAATAATAGCAACCGTGCTAACTACCTTGTTGTTAAAGGCCCATCTGAATTGCTAATGCCCTCAATGGGAGGAAATCTGCCATTCTTAACTGGTCTGGCCTACATGTGACTCCAGACCCACGGTAACTGCAATGGCCTAGCAAGCAACTTGTGTTTGCTGAATATGCCTGATATCAAGATAGGAATTGTCTTGTTTTGTACTGCAAGAGCACATCAGAGGCTGGAAAGTTTATAGCAAGTAATTCAGCACCTGCTTCTCAATGCCTATCCACCATCTACAAGACACAAGTCAAAAATGTGATGGAGTAGTCTACACATGCCTGTAGAAGTGCAACAAAACTGAAGAAACCCGACACCATCTAGACAAAGCAACCCACAAGCTTGGTACCTCATTTACTACCTTCAGCATTCAGTCCATTCACCACCAACGCAAAATAGCATCATTGTCTACCATCTATAAGATACGCTACAGCAACTCCACAGACTCCTTTGACAGTATCTTCCCAACCCATGACCTAGATGAACAAGGGCATCAGATGCATTGAAACTCCACCACCTGCAAGTTTCCCTCAAAGCCACATGCCATCCTGATTTAGAACTATATCGGTGTCCTTCACTGTTTCGGGATCAAAATCCTGGAACTCCCTAACAATACTGTTGAGTGTCCCTAAATCAAGGACTGCAGTGGTTCAAGATAGTTGCTCATCTACACTTTCTCAAGGGCAATTAGAAATGGGGAATAAAAGCTGGCCTAGTCAGTGACTTCCATATCCCATGAATGAATAAAACAATTATTGAATCATAGAATCCCTAAGGTGTGGAAACAGGCTATCTGGCTTATCAAGTGCATGCCGATGCTCTGAAGAGCATCCTGCGCAGACACACCCGCTATCCTATCCTGTAATCCTGCATTCCCTGTAGCTAATCCACCCAACCTAAACA